CTCTGTATGTTATTATTATTATTAATATTATTATTCATATCCAAATGTCATCATCATTATTATTTTTATGATTATTCTATAATTATTATTATTTATCAGAAAAATCTCCGGGGAAGAAAATCTAAATAATATGAAATAAATCACATAAAAGGGATATATAATAAAGATGTAATTAATAATATCAAACCGTCCGATACATTATAAAGTGCCAATTAATTTCTTAAATCAATGATCAAATGTGTTTATTTATATATATCTTCTAAGTTTCTCTCTTCACTTCTTTTCTCTTCTCTTCTGTCCTCTTCTGTCCTCTTCTCTTCTCTCCTCTTCTCTCCTCTCTTCTCTCCTCTCCTCTTCTCTTCTCTCATCCTCTCCTCTTCTCTCCTCTCTCCTTTTTACATAACAGCAACAAATAAAAGAAAATATATCGATAATAAAATGTGTTGTAGCATTTGTTAATATCATCTTTTATCGTTGATATCTTTAGTAATTATATACGGAATAGAAGGGATGAAAACAATGCATTCTGATTGCTTTTAACTGCCATCTCATTATAATCGCGAGGATAAACGTGTATTGCCTGCTAATTAAAGGAAGATAATGTGAGAGAGAGGAGAGGGAAGGAGAGAGAGAGAGAGGGAGGAAGGGAGAGGGAGAGAGGGAGGGAGGGAGGGAGAGAGAGAGGGGAGGAGGGAGAGAGAGAGAGGGAGGGAGAAAGAGAGGGGGAGAGGAAGGGAGGGAGGGAGGGAGAGAGGGAGGGAGGAAGGGAGAGAGAGAAAGAGGGAGGGAGAGAGACACGATTGGAATGAAAATAAAGAAGAGCCAATAGCCGATAATAATAAGTCATGCCAAGACGAACACGATTGAACACGGCGGAACAGAACCAGAAGGGAAAACAAACGCAGCATTAAAACAACAGAACATGAAGGAACACAACAACCGAACACAACATCAAAAACCGAAAAGTCGAACACGAATCGGAAAACAACCGATCAAATAACATCTAACAATCGCACAATCGAACACGCAGCTTCTAACAATCGAACAGCCGAACACACAATTTCTAACAACCGAACAACCGAACACGCTGCTTGTAACAATCGAACAACCGAACACGCAGCTTCTAACAACCGAACAACCGAAGACGCAGCTTCTAACAACCGAAGACGCAGCTTCTAACAACCGAAAACCGAAGACGCAGCTTCTAACAACCAAACAACCGAAGAAGCAGCTCCTAACAACCGAACACGCAGCTTCTAACAACCGAACACGCGGCTCCTAACAATCAAACAACCGAAGACGCGACTCCTAACAACCGAACACGCGGCTCCTAACAATCGAACACCCGAAGACGCAGCTTCTAACAACCAAACAACCGAAGAAGCAGCTTCTAATAACCGAACACGCAGCTTCTAACAACCGAACACGCGGCTCCTAACAATCAAACAACCGAACACGCGACTCTTAACAACCGAACAACCGAACACGCGGCTCCTAACAACCGAACAACCGAAGACGTAGCTTCTAACAACCAAACAACCGAAGAAGCAGCTCCTAACAACCGAACACGCAGCTTCTAACAACCGAACAACCGAACACGCGGCTCCTAACAATCAAACAACCGAAGACGCGACTCCTAACAACCGAACAACCGAACACGCGGCTCCTAACAACCGAACACGCAGCTTCTAACAATCGAACAACCGAACACGCAGCTTCTAACAACCGAACAGCCGAACACACAATTTCTAACAACCGAACACGCAGCTTCTAGCACCCGAGAGCAGCGGAACGCACGAGGGCCTGACGTAGCGTTGATTAATCGGGTCCCTCGGTGGCTGCGCGACCACCCAATCTCGGACATGGGGGGGAGGGGGAGGAATGGAAGGGGAAGGGGGTTTTATATCGCAAAGGAAGGGGAGGGGGTGAGGGTTGAGGTTGGGGGGAGGGGGGGGGAGGGGAA